TTTTATCACAGTGGCTTTGTAGTATAGTTTCAAATTGGGAATTGTTACACCTGGTGCCATGTGTCTGTTGCCTAAAATGGCTTTTGCTATTCTAGGTCTCTTATGGTTCCAGATGAATTTTTGGATTTTTTTTTCTAGTTCTGTGAAATATAGTGTTGGAATTTCAATTGGCATTGCATTGAATGTATATAGCAGTTTTGGTAGTATGGCCATTTTCACTATGTTGATTCTTCCTACCCAGGAGCAGGGGATATCTTTCCATTTTTTTATATCCTCTTCAATTTCTTTTTTCAGAGTGCTGTAGTTTTCAGTGTAGAGATCTTTTGTTTCTTTTGTTAGATTGATTCCTAGATACCTCATTTTTTTGGATGCTAATGTAAAAGGAATTTTTTCCCTTATTTCTCTCTCCGTGTGTCTGTACAGACCTGTTAATACTGGTCTGCAAGCAACTTGCTTGCCAGGATTTAACATTGAAAGTTTCCTAGAATTCTACCAATTTCTTCCTAACTTAGCTAGAAATTTAAAGTTATTATATTAAGATTTGGCCTTCCTGTTGGAGGCAGTGTCAGCTCACATTAAAGGATGGGCAGAAACTGTAAGGAAGTGTGAGTGTTCAGTCCTAGGACTGTAGAGCCAGGAGAATCTAGAGACCTGAAACCTGAACGGTTTGCGTGTGGCTAAAGCGGGCAAATGAGGAAGGTGTGGCCAGGTTAGCAAGTTTTCTTGGGCCTTGCTTGCCCTTATATACTGCATGTAAACTGTTTCAGTCTTCTAAGCAAGGACGTGTGATCAAATTTGCATGTCATAATGACGAAACGCAGAGAACAGATTTGGAGAGGAGTGAGACCTGGGGCATGGACACCAGCGAGGAGGACTAATCTGGGAGAGGGATGTTAACGATTGCCTGCTGAGATGGTTTGGGAGATTTAGAAGAATCAAGAGTGCCTAGTTTTTCTTGCGTCTGTATTTTCTTTCTTTTTGTTTTGGTCTGTGTTCTTTCTTCTCTTCTGCTTTCCTGTTCACTAGTGTCTTTTCCTTTTTTTTTTTTAGTTTGTTTACGTCTGTTTCTTTATTCCTTGCTTACAAAATGCACTTTATAACCTGATTACTGATTTTTTAAAAAATGTTGACTTTTATAAAAATAATTTATAGATGGTGAACGGTAGACATTTTAAAATGCAAACGAGTTTTGACAAATGCACATCTCTGTGTAACCTCCACCACCATAACCAAGGTAGAATCTTTCCATTATTCCATAAGGCTCTGTTGTGCCCCCTGGCGGCCCAGATAAGCAGTAACTTGCTTCTCGTTACGGCACACCGTACCTCCTAGTTTCATATGATTGCTGCTGTGGACTGTGTGCTCATCTGTCTTATTTCTTTCAGAATGTCTGGATTTCCGCCCTGCTTTTGTGTACACTCTTAGTTAATTACATGTTTTAATTGACTGATAGTAATGTGTGGGGAAATCACCAATGTGGATCTGTCCATGGCTTTTTCCTTTCCTTTGCTCTGTTTTCCTTCCCAGGTGGAACATGATAGTAAAGCTTTCTTTCCCCCTTCCTGTATTTTGTGTTTGTTACATTTTAATTCTTAATTCTGGGTTTTAAAAGTGGCCAAGTCACTTTGTAATCTTTTTTTAAAAAAAAAAAAAAACAAGCACTTTACAGTGAATTGTCATGCTAGTTGGTAAGGTTAGTAATCCTTGACATTCTTCCAAATACTTGTGTTTCCCCTGTGTAATTATTTTAATGTTCTCTTTTATATAAGTTTAGGCAAAGAGGATTTATGATAAAAGTTACTTCGAGTGATTTAAGGCTTTATAATCTCTTGTTTGCCATGCGAACATGTACTTAAAGATCTCTGGCAAGTAAACGTCCAGTAGGACATATCAGGTCTAAACCACTTTTGAAAACATGGTTTTGACCTTTTTAAGTGGAAGATATTTCCTTGTATGTTTTATATTCTGTGGTATTTGCTTTGGTAGTAATTAAATGCTAATTTACAGAATTATAACAGCCAAAATTGTATAAAGAAAAAAAACCTCTTAAATTTATAGCCTTGAGTTGAGATTCAAGAATCACTGTCATAACGAACATAACAAGCAGATTGAAGGCAGACCTGTCACCTTGCATTATTATTTTGACATTGAATAATGACCTATCTGTAATAGCATCCTTAAAAACTTCCTCATAGGCACTGTTGATATGATAGGGCAATATAGAGATGTCAGTTTTATGGCTCCAAAGATCTACTGTGCATTTTGTAAATGTGTTTCAGTTATATTTTGGCAGTAAAGAGAGAAGAAAGATAATGCTCCCATTAAAGTGATCAACTACACATGTAGAAATTGGTAGGAAGATGTGTGAAAAAAGCTTTTAGATGAAACCCATTTTCGCATGCAAATTGCCTTTGCTGCATATATAACTCATAATACTGTGGGGTAATTCAGCAAGAATAGCACTCAAAGTGATGTTTGCATGCTGATTTCAGGGAAGTATATAAATTGCTTTATAATAAGTCTGTCTGCTGTTCACCTGTGTATGAATCCACTCTTCTACCTTTGTTCTGTTCTCTTAAACAGTTGATTAAAATTTTAACTAACATTTTACTATTTCAGCTGTTGTCTTTTTCATTCTTAATAGTTATAAGTAAAAACAAAAACTAATTTTTGTTCTGCTACTTGGGACAATGTGTCTTTATACTTCAAAGTTATTATTCCAGTAGTAACATTGACTATAGTGAATTGTCAGAGATGTATAATTATTTTTGAAATTCTTTTTGTATGATTCTACCATGAAATCCATTTTAAATAATCACTTTTCTCTACCAAATGTTTTAAGGAATTTCACATGGAAATTTTTTAAAAGCAGTGTTTCCTTCTTGATGCATTGTTTCCTTGTGTTAACATGGTTTTAGTTGCTTTTGTATCTCACAAACATATCTTTATTTCTTTTCCATGCCAGTCAGTTCTTACCACCTGCCTTTGTTTGTTTCTTCTGACTTCTGTCTATACTCTGCAGATTTCCTCCTCTGATGCGCCTGTTCAGCCTCTAGTATCTTCTCCTTCCCTGCAAGCTGCTGTTGAGAAAAACAAACTGGAGGTATGGTCGTGTCCTCACCGTCTGCGTTGTGTGGTGTTGGGTATGAATGAGCTTTCTCTTGCTGTGTGCCAGAATCTGCAGTTGTTTATATTTTGCCTCTCTTGTTTTTCCCTGATACCGGCGATTAAACTCAGGACCTTGTGCTTGCCGGGCAGGCATGATGCCACTGAACTACATCCCCAGCCCTGATCATTTATATTTTGAATGATCCCCAGTGCTAAATACAAGAATTTCTTAAATGTTTCCCTAGGATATAATTAAAGGACTTTGACTTATATTCAATTTCCGAAATTATTGATTTATTTGGCCATAAATATGTGTCAACAGTTAAGCAGTTAGTTTCTGTTGTTGTGACTTTTACTACCTTATACTTTTTTATAGTTTGTTACTGAATTCTTTGATCTGGTAATTTGATTAAAAAATAGTTTGTCTCTTTACCTTTCTTGTTTATTTTGTTGAGCTTGATGGATTGATTTGAGGCATTCTTTTAGCTCTTATTTGTCCTGTGTCTTCTCCTTGATAAATGAGTGCTACACATGACAGATGCAAAGATGTAGAAGGGACCACCTGTGCTCTTGAACAGCTTCCAGTTTTCCTTCTGCAGTATAACGGGTTCATCCTGAGCCCTTTGCTCGGATCTACCTTGCCATTCCTTTTTATTTTTTATTTTGAGACAGGATCTTGCTAAGTTACTAAATTGCCTAGGCTGGACTTGAATTTGTCATCCTCCTGCCTAGCTTCCTGGGACACTGGGATTGCACCTGTGTGACACCATGCGTGGGCTTAGTTTATAAACTCAAGGAGGAAGGCAGATAACTGTGACAGTTCAGAATACAATACAATATGTGACGTGATTGAAGGCCACTCACTATACTGCTGTTAATACAAGTGGCCCACTTTTCATGCATCTTGAATTCTGAATAGGCAGAAAAGCTCAGGAGACATTCCAAGTACAGAAAGCAGGAGTTGCAAGTTGAATTGGCATGGCTGAGATAGAAACGAGGTAGGAATAAAGGGAGAGAAGAGTCTTCTTTAAAAAAGTAAGTGTGTGTGTGTGTGTGTGTGATTTATTATGTAGCCCTGGGAGTTGAAGCCAGGGTCTTCATGCTGAGCTACATCTCTAACATATTTGAGACAGACTGTCACTAAGTCATTATGTTGCCTGGGCTGGGCTCAAACTTGTAATGATGAGTTTTGATGGAAAACAGGGTGACAGGATCAAGTTTCTGTGTTACGGCACTGCTCTGCTGGCTCCGTGGGGAATGGATTTTGTGGTGGTGGCTGAGCAAAGACTTGAAAACTAATCTTCATTCAGGAATGGAGTGATGCGTGCAGATGCTAGAATGTGGGCAGAGAGAATGAGGTGGTGTGTGGTTTTGAGAGAGCTTAAGGTGAGATGCACAGGATGTGGTAAGCAGTGAATTGTGGAAGTGTTTTGTGGACTGTGACTGAGTTTCTGGTGTAAGTGTCTGCATGGAAGATGGTGCCATTTAATGCGACGAGAGAAGAAACAGGTTTAAGGAGAGACAGACGTGGAAGATGGATTAAAGTTGGACATATGTTGCTGAGAGCTGGCAGCTGTAGACCTGCCCACATTCAGTAATGCTTGCACGTGCCTATCTGCGGCTCGCAGGAGGGGTGGTGAGGCAGGCGGAGGCCCTGAACCAGCAACCGCAGCCTCAGTGACGGTGACGAAAGGAATCACCGTGGAGCAGAGAGGGCGGAGCTCTTGAACCTGGAGTTGTTAAAGATCAAGACAGGTTCATGAGGAGACTGTGAAGAGCAATTTTGGATTCAAACTACTACCCTGGAAGGAGACAGCAGACCCGTGTGGTTTAGTGTTCCTGGTGGTGTCAGTCGCAGGCAGGCTCAGGAAAGAGGTGCTCCAGAACTGTGCGTACTGCCTTGAAAGAATGTAAAGATGCCAGAGGCACCATTGAGCCCTTCAAAATTTGCCCTGGAGATATTTCTCGTTAGGGAAAGAAGATGGAAATGCATGGGTTACTCTTGTCTGTGACGGGGTTCCTGCCTCCATTGCTCTGAAAGCAGTGATCTAATTTGGCAGCCATGGAGCAGTCCATTCAGAGTGCCTGTTCCTGCTTTTCAGTTCTCATCCCTTTGGCATCTGCTTTTGTATATGGTTTTTTTATGTTATAGTGTTGTACAGTATTGCTTCTAAGTAAATGTATGTGTATGATGGGGTATATATGCTCACAGCTTTTCAAGATTCAAGATATTCTGGGGACTTGAGTGGCTCAAGTATATAGTTTGATTATAATGATCCCAGTATGAGAACTTTAACACACCCCCGCCCCCAGGCCAGTCCTGGGGATTGAACCCAGGGCTTTTGCACAGTTACAGGGCCTTTGAACTGCACTACATCCCCATCTCATTTTATCTTTAATATACGTTGAAGCAGTTCTTGCTGAGTTGCTTGGACTGGGCCTGAACTTAACGGTCTTCCTGCTTAGTTTCCCTGAGTGGTGGGATCATAGGTGTATGCCCTTTTCTCTGTCTTGTAAGACTTGCATGTTTATATTTTCTTCAGTGGGATTTCTGACATTCCACGGTACCTTGGTTGACAAATGCTTCTGTTCTCAAACAGTTTGGTTCTCAGACAAAAGTTTTCCACAGAATTTTACTTCCATTCAAAAACTCCACATTGGACAAACACAACTTCTGCCATCTTCCCCTCACAAACAAATGAAAATGTGACCATTTTCCCCAGAACCATGAAACAGATTAAATTCGTGAACTGGGGTGCCGCTGTATCTACTGTAGGAATCAAGTTTCTGGAACTACTATTTTGTAATGCCAAGCACGGTTATGTTTTGTTGTAGCTGGGAAAATAGAACAGTAGTGGTTCTGATACTCTGTCTCTCAGCAGCTTTTGACCATATAGAAGATGGGAGTCACCTGTGGCTTGGACTGTGTCGTCTGAGTTCAGAGCTCTTACTGTTCATGTTACTTCAAACCCGTGTCATAATTCCACATCTGGAATCTGAGTAGACATCTTGACAGCTGAAGTTTGAGTGTGAAAGTGTCACATCATGTTCTCTGTTAAATGTAGCTAACAGATTGGGCTTGTTTTTGGTGATCTTGTGTGCCCATCGTCACCAAGATTAGGAAGTCAGACTTCTCTCATGAGAAGTAACTGCAGGCTGCTTTAACAGATGGCCACGGACTGAGTTGCTTATAAACAACAGAAAGGTACCTCTCACGGCTGTGACAGGTGGACAGTTCAAGGTAGCGTCTCTGGCACATCACAGAGCGCCACCTGCACTTTGTGAGATCCCGGAGGGAACGGCTGAGGGGACTCGGAGGCCTCTTTTATAAGGATTCCACCCCGGGGCCACTGCGTCACCTTCCAAAGACCCTGCCTCCTAGAATCATCATAGGGGGATTTCCTTTCAACCTAAGAATTTTGGGGTGGACACAGACATTCCAGCCACAGCACGAAGAGCTCGAGAGGTTATGGAGCACCCACCCCCCATTCTAGTGAGGACACTGTTGTTTTTCTCACCAAATTTTACTAATCTAAAAATGTTGTCATATAGAAAGGATTGTATTACATCCCATTTATTAAAGCAGGGACAATATTAGTCACCTCATAAAGTTTGGGGTTTACAGTTCCTCAGCCAGAAAGGGGGCTGATTAGCTGTGCAGTATGGGCATCACTGGCCCAAGGCTTTGGTTTTTTGTTTGTAAGAAGACTAAGATCAGTAGTTATTCCAGGCAGCCCTTGAAATGATTAAACTCAGTGGAGAGGGAGCACTTGGTACGTGGTTCTGCGGTTGGGATTTAGAAGGAAGGTCTGACTGGGTGAGGTCGCATACCTGTCGGTGACGCTTCTCCTTACCCTTACAGCGCTCATCTTGCTTGCTTGTCTCATTCAGGAGCACGAGTGGAAAGAAAAATGTGTTTTCGAGAAACATACCAAACTTTCTAGAAGGTCTTCTGCCTGTGCTTGACTGTGTTAGTTCTTAAAGTTCATGGCAAAATGCCGGATTTGCAGTACCATCATCTGGTGGGTTACTCTTTAGGTCTGAGCACTTTAGGTATTCAAAAGTTCAACTTTCTGTTAACTTTTTAACTTGCTCCTGAAAAGCATTACTGAAACAAATGGTTTCAGAGAATCTTAGTGCAGTATAAGGAATCTTGCATAGAAGCTGTGTTGTATCCTAGTTCTAGAAATTCTAGCCCTGTTCCTTTCTCCTTTTGCTACAAAGCAGTACACCAACACTATTTGTGAGTGTAGCTCGGTGCAGATCTTCTCACTTATTGGTGAATTGTTGCACTTAACTGCTTTTTATTAAGCAGCAACCAAAGAAAACATTTTTCTTTGGAGTGTTTTAGGTTTTTTTCTGTTCTTAAACTTGAAGTTGAAGACCTTGCTTTATTCTTGCCAGAAAGAGCTTTGCTATGAATTTCTTTTAAAATTTGGAGCCAAGACCAGGGGTTTTTCTTCCCTCTTTTTGATATCATACAACAAATATGAAAATTTTACTTTATTTGTGTAGTGCCTTACTTTTTGCAGAGTTGTTTTTGAGGTTTTTAATGCCTTCTTTTTAATACTGAAACACACATTTAATATGTACCTAGTTTCATGAGTACTTACAGAACTATCACTACTTTCATTGTGTAAAGTGAACATTGTTAGAACTTCAAAGCTCCCGTGTTACCTGCTCTTTTATGGCTGAAACCTTTTCCTTAAGTTAGTTAACATCCTGACTTTTGCCGTATTTGTCATCGTCACTTTGCTTTTCTTCATAATTTTGTATGGATGTACATACCCCAAACACGAGCTTTGCTTCGTAGAAATGATCGCAACGCCACTGAACCTTTAGCATTTCAATGTCATAGTCTAAAAATTGTAAATATTATCTTTCTTGATTTAACGTGGCAAATGCAGTCCAACAGAGGTTACACGAGATGCCCTTTTAAAGAGAGGTGCAGGGGAGAGTCAGCCTCTCCGTATTTTGACTTAAGTTCCATGTGTTTATCTCTGTCTTTCCTAGGTTTGTCTGTTTATCCTTTCACGTTTGCTGCAGGGATCTAAGAGTTAGGTTGGTGCCCACTGCAGAGCCATCCTGTCTAGGTTTTCAGTCACCTCTTCCCTCTCAGTGGCATAAAATGCTTTGTTTAATATTTTTTTCATTTTTCTTTTTGGTTAATTTTTTTACTTTTCCTCTTCTGTGCCCTTTTAGGTTTGAGCTTTTAGCATTTTGTGTCATCCTTAGAAATACGAACTGTGAACATCATCATCGTTATAATTACTTAACTTGCCTTAGACTAGTCAGTTGGTTCTGAGCCCCATGCATTGTCTTTAACGTCTTTTTCGTTAGAAAATTACATTAGCCTTCTTTAAAACGCGAATCGGTGATGATGGCTTGAATATATATTTGTGATTCTTTTAAAGATAATTTTAAAGTCACTTTATACTGTTTATTATTTATAATTTGTTTTCATGTGATGAGGAAGTATGTTTTATCACTTAGTTTGACTTCCGATTCCGAATTCCACGTTATGATTGATATAAAGAAGTGTGGCCTATGTAAGGATGTATTGAGAATTTACGGAATGCGGTTCTCATTTGCTTAAAACAAACACAAACCTAAAATAGCAGAGAAATTCTAAGTTGTCTTAATTTTTGGAGAGATAGTCTACATTCTGTCTTCAACATGTAACCTTTTGTTGTGAATATGTAACCTCTGAAAATGTAAATTTGCTATGTTTATATTTCAAATCATGATTCAAATTAATAAAATAAAAGTTTATTAAAGGTTGCCAGTGAGGCACAGTGGTGCAAACCTGTAATCCCAGCACTCTGGGAGGCTGAGGCAGGGGGATTAAAAGTTTAAACCCTGCTGGAGCAATTTAGAGTCTTAGTAAGACTCCATCTCAAAGTAAAGGATTGGGGATATAGCTCAGTGTACAGGCCCTGGGTTCAATCGCCTGTGCTGTCAATGAAAAAAAACAAAAGTTGCCTTTTTCAAAAAGTAAACTCACTAAAACTTTGGACTACTTTTTAGAAAGAAAAGGAGAAGAAAAAGGAAGAGAAAAAGAGAGAAAAGGAGCCAGAAAAGCCTACAAAGCCACTTACAACTGAAAAGGTAAAATTTCTTTCAAAAAAAGTATTGATTACCATCTTATATCTATATCACATTAATGCCCTCCTGTATATTTATGCAGAATATGCAAATAATCATCCTTCCAACAGACGTTGAGTGGATACTATGTGTTCTGTGTTCCCTATGACTTGGCCTGTCGGGGTTGTAATGAGAGGTGGAAGTGTGGGTGTGGCCCCTCTGAGTCCCTCAGGGGCGGGCAACCTCACGGACCACACGGGTGGCATTGCTGGCTTCCCTGCACAGTCAGATTTCAGGGGAGGTTTAGAGAATGAAGGAGTCAAACCGAGGATCTTTCAGAAAAGACCTCATGCTTTATCACATTTCAGCTAGATCTTGACATGTAGATAGGGTTAAGGGAGAAGGCAGGATGCATCAGTTTGCGAAAACAGCCTGAAGACAGGTAATGAAACTGAAAGTAAAGTATGTTTTTGAATGGATTTTGAAGAAAGATATTTATTTGAGTATGAGTGGTGAAAAATAAGGACAAAATGGCAGAGTAAACTCAGACTGTAGATGTTTATGCATTTTGGGGAGGAATGGCTGTGGGCAACACTTCACTTTTTAAAGTAGGTGATACATCTAATTCAGAGGGTTGGATTTTTGGGTTTTGTTTTATTTTTTAAATTATTGGGAGTAATATTCAGCATACATCTGTTAGGCAAACCGGAGTTTTTTATGCATTTCATCATAGAAGCATTGAAGAATTACCAGGGTTGGCATGGTGGTGGACAACCGTAATCCTAGCTCAAGAGGCCGAGGCAGGAGGATTGCTGCATATTGAGACCCTTTCTCAAAAACCAACAAACTAAAACCAAAAAAAATCATAATAAAGTTAGCATTCTTGGTTTTAGCTGTTGAAATTTTAAAACTCAACTTTGAAGGCATAAATTGCATACTCTACAGCACATCCATTTACAGTACATAATGAGCACATACTGGTTCTTTCTGTCGCTTACTGGAATGATTTCTATCCTCAGAGAATTCTGAATGTCCAACACTGAAGACTCACTGGGCATCCTAAGACTCTCCAGTCTTGGTGCAGCCGGCACAGCCGTCCATCTCCTGGCCCATGCCCTGCTTCCTGGCCTCACACTTCCTCTGCACACCACGAGGCTTGTCCCCTGACACCCAGCTGTGTCTTCCATTTTCTTTCTTTCTTTCTTTTTTGTTTTGAGACAGGGTCTCACTGTGCAGTTGAGACTGACCTGGAACTCACTATGTAGCCCAGGCTGGTCTCAAACTCACAGCAATCCTCCTGCCTCAGCCTCCCGAGTGCTGGGATTACAGGTGTGCACCACCACACCTGGCTGTGTCTTCCATTTTCATTAACTTGTTTGGCCAAGAATATCTTTTACTTTATTTCTTATCTAAAACCTCATTTTACCTTTTCCATAAAGCTCCTCTAAACATTCCAACTGCATATACTTTCTCTTTCCCTCAAAATTCCGGTGACATTTTTATATATTTGATTCTGTTACTTCTTACCTTGTATTAGTGTATTTCTCTCAGTTTCTGATGGGGCTTGGGCTAAGTACACATGGATCGATCTGCTAATTTTTGTCATTTCATAATTCTGTCAGTGTTAACTCCAAGATCATGCAGAAAGATTAATAGACCATTATTTCTTACTAAGTAATATGAAATACTGAAGACTGCAGAATTATTCTGCTGTGTGAAATTCTCTGAAATATTAAAAAAATACTTTTCAGGGGCCAGGGATTTCGCTCAGTGGTTCTGCCTCCTGCCTCGCAAGTACAAGGACCTGAGTATCACTGTCATTATTATAGTGACAATTTATTGGATTAAATTCTTTTTCCCAGATTAAATTTAGGTGTTACATATTTTTAAATATTTTTAAAGGGCGTGATTAAATTGGTGTTTATAACCTGATGACTTCCCTAGCTTTAATTCTCTTCTGGTAACTTTTTCTTTAATTTGCATCAGTAAGAAACTACAAGTGAAATATCATAATTTTCATTTGATTACAAAAGAATTTTTAAATGACCCCATTTTATCTTTTGTTTCTAAAAATCGGAAAATTCAAAATAATTATTTTACTTGACTGTGACGCTTATTCATTTTTAAAACATCATATATTTCCCCCTAAGAAAAGATATTCCCGCTTTAAAATACTGTAAGCATTTGATGTAGTGATTTGTCTTTTGTAGCTTTGCATGCAAATAATTTCCTTTTGCTACCCACTGTGAAAATGGGCCCAGTATTAGCTCAGGATGGGTTTGTCTGGGGTCCTTAGAAGAGCGGGACAGGATGTGTGAACAGTGTGGTCGCTGCCTTCTGCTCCGCCTAGCTTCCCGCAGTAGGTTTGAGTAAACCCAGTTCATACCTCGTATCCCTCTTCTCAACCATAGAGATTCAAGACTCGTGCTGCCCCCAGAGAGGTCTTTGCTGAGAGAAAATCATGGAAAGGGTAAAACTTTAGTTCCCATCAAAATTTTGCAATCGAAATGTTGCAGACTCTTAAGAAAGAAGATACATTCAGAGAGAGAGTGAGAAAACTGGAGGGAAAATCACACAACTGCAGCAGCTTTACTTCATACTTAGGCGTTTCTTCTTTGTGTTCTTCTTGAGTTGGTATTTCCTGGGGTCACAGTAATCCACAGAGCAGACATTAATAGAATGGTTTCAAAATAGCAACAAGAGTAGTCATTGTAGTCAGAACAGTATCCTCTTCATTAAACATTAGTGTCTTCATGGCCAGTGTGCTGTGTGCCGTGAACTGGGGTAGGTGTGCGGTTTAAATGTGCAGTTGTATGTACAGAGTTTCTGTGTAACATTAACAACCAGGTAACACTACCCAATTTAGGAGATAGAACAAGGCCAGTGCCCCGGAAACTGCACCCTACAATAAACATTCTCAGAAGAAAGCCTCTTCTCTCCCCTTCAGGGATAACTATTTTGTTACCTTTTTTAATTTTTTAAATGTTATTGATTCAGTTTTTTGTGGATGCTGAGTGCTGAATCAGGGGCCCTGGGTGTACTAGACAAAGATTCTCCTGAGCTACATACCCAGCCGTCATTGTATCTTAAAAGCAGCTTTACCACCCCTGCGTGCATCTCTAAACAGTGTGATTTGATTTCCTCTGTTATCAGTGAAGTGACACCATAATGTTTTTACATTTTGCTTTTTTCAGCCAGTACTTTGTTTATGAGTCAGTCATGCTGTGTATAGTTACAGTTTGTTCGTGTTGTGTTGTAGTATTGTGTATATATCAGTTCCTCAGTGTATCCATTCTGTTAAACATTGGATTATGTACAGGCTTTAACTTTTATATGTAGTGCTGTGGCGAGCACTCTGATATGTACATCTAAGCATGTTATTTCTTTGGGTGTACTTAGCAGTGAAATGTCTGAGTCATAAAGTAAGTGCTTCTTGAACTTTCCCTGGCCGTGTCAAACTATTTTCCAAAGTGTGCACCAAAAACACTCTTTCCATCGAAGCCGCTCCATCTCCCCTGCAACATCAGGTGTCAGCAGGGATTTTATTATTTGTAGCTTGGCGAGTGTGTGATGCCGTCTCTTAGGTGGCTTACTGTGTTTTAACTGTCTTATGTCCTCGATTGCTTGATTCTTTATTTCCTTGATTACTTTTCATATGTTTGTTGCCCATTTGGATTTCCTTGAATTCTTGCTTTAGGTCTTTTGCCTATTTTTCTATTGTATTGCCTGCCCTTTTCTTATAAGTTTGTAGTAATTATACAAATATACATGCAGCTTTGTGGCTGATTTTGTCACTGTTTCTCATGGAGTCTGGAATGGAGAGAGAAGGGCTTTTTGTTTTTAAGGAAGCATAAATTAAACTGCGTCTCATATCTCCTTGTGTTTAAAAGAATGCTTGATAGGGATTATTTATTCTTGACTCCTTTTCCCAAGTTCCACTTATTTTTATAAGTGATTAGAGCCATTCGTACGATTTTTTTGTTTTGTTTTGTTTTGGTGCTGGGATTGCACTTGGGTCTTCACACATGTTAAACACATGCTGTACCCCGGAGTTAACCCCCGAGCCTGTGAGGGTGGCTCTCGACACATAGTAAGGGCTTACTGAATTGTTCCTTAAAAATACATTCATTTAGAGATTGAGAAGGAGCCTTACTCCTGTCCAAATTTCCAGTATTACTAAGAAGTAACCGAAGTTCTAGAAGAACCTAAACTCAGTTAGAAGTGATCTCGTGAGTGTTAACGATTGGTGGCAGCTTGGGTTTGAGCCCCAGTCTGCTGGTTGTTATGGTTGAATGGGCCGGTAGTTGTCCAAATTCTTTTTTCTTTTTTTTTCATTGAGTTTATTGGTACTTTTTAGTACAGTTACATTCATCATTGGGATCTTGTACCTTTCATTTGTCCAAATTCTTGTGTCTGATAAGAGCAGAGTTGCCAAGCATGCACCCACTAGTAAGTAGTAGTAAGTGGCTGTATTTATTGAAGTTCACACCAGGTTGTGTTCAGGGCCAGTTGGTGCCAACAGAGGTTCAGCACAGACCAAGAAAGGTGCCGGTGATATAGGAGAAATATAGCTCCCAACTGGCCGGATGTCAGATGTGTGAAGTTCGTGTCCCCTGAAATTGAAGAGTGAATTTCAAAGGACAAAGGTTGAGGATGGGAAAGGGTTATTGAGAGAGAGCTCCAGGAGACAGGAGGGGTCCCCAGGGGCAGCCACTGAGGTCATACCTAATTGCAGAGTTGAGCAGGAATCTGACCCAGAAGTTTAAGGAAATAAAGGAGATTGAAAACAACATAAAAGCAGAGATGCCTTACCCTGCTTTTACTCACTGGGCACTTGGCTGGCTGTCCTGTCCTCAAAGACCCCATTATACCGACTCTTAGCAGGGAGGTGTGTGCAACGAGGTGTAGTTGGATTTGTTAGGTTGATTTCTTGTGATTTTTAGTGTTATTATAATTTTACATGTTTTTATAATGAATGGTCCAGGTTTCCCTAAAAAGGAACTCTATTTATATATAACTTTGTC